AGAAGAGGAGTTAGTAACTAAAACATGCTCAATCGACAATTTATCATACCTCTCATTTATTGCCTTTAGCTCTTACAATTTGGAGATGAGAAACTTTTTTTGATTTTGAAGCGATTGCTCTTGCTTCTCAATCTCTTCTTCAAGCTCATCATTCTTTTCAACTATCTTCATGATGATGAACTTGTCTTTGTGGTTGAGATGATCAAGGTTGTAGTTGTCTTCAACTTCAACATCACTCTCATCTTGATCATCCACTTGAGCCTTCTCCTTTTCTTGATTTTTCTTGTTGCTCTTCTTCTTGCTTTTCTTGGCCATGAGACATAAGTGATGAGTATCATGAGATACTGAGATTGACTCATCATTTGGTCGCCACCGAGCTTGAGCATTGCTGCAACCAGCTGCTTGCTGCTCTGCTGCCTTGGCCATAACGAACACGTCCGGTATGTGCAGGCCGACAGCAGGTCATGTGCCTCTTGCACTTCTTGCTCCGGCTCGGCACTCTTGAGGTCTTGTGAGGCTTCTTCGCTGTATGAAGACACAATGGACATACTTTCCATTGACTCGATCTCAAGTGCATCATCACATTTGGATTTTCCATATAAATCAAAAAGTCTAGTCCAAATGAGATAGGCACTCTCCGGAGGTGGTAGTCCATTGAATATTGCCTCATCTTGAACCTCTGCACTCAATGTACTCAAAATGATATTAATAGCTTGAGCATTGAGTTGCACGCATATCTCTTCCTCTTTTGATAAATTCTTCTAGTTGCTCCAATCAACTATAGGAAGAGGTATGCTTGCAAACACAATATGCTCAACAAGAGGACTAATATCTTTAAAAGCATTGAGTACATAAATTGACCAAGGTAGAAAGTTTGAACCATCATTTTGGAGAAGCACCGGCTCTAACTCGATAGGCGTCGACATCCTTTTCTCACGGCGGTGAAGCTTTAAGTGAGAACCTTTCTATGATACCAATTGAAAGGACCTAGGATGCCGCCTAGAGGGGAGTGAATAGGCGTTTTTGAAAATTAACATCTTTAAAAACGGAAACGATTAGTAAAGAGAGTTTCCGAAATGGAAACTCCAAATAAAGAGTAGTACCACCCCTCACAAGTTAGCCACAGAGTATATAAAAGATACTAAATGAATCTAGGAGCCAAACGCTTGCAACCAAAGAGTTAGAACACAATACAATTCAGTTTGGCGCAGGGGCTAATACCGGACGTGTCCGGTAGGTCTACCGGACGTGTCCGGTATTCACGACTTCAGTGGAACAGCCCCGAACTTGCTCCTTTTGATTTCTATCTTCAATCCAAACTGCAGGAAACTATTAGAGATACTAATATACATAAAGAACCTGCAGAATAGCTAGAGAAACACAAATATCAAATAAAATGCGAATTGAGACACGATATTTGTTTTACCGAAGTTCGGACTCGTTCGAGTCCTACTCTCCATTGAGGGGGCTGCGGGCGACCCAGCGAAGGTCAGCCCTAGAGGGTACCACGAAGGTCACTCTAGCCGGAGTCTTTTCTAACTCCTTTTCCTCCTTCCACTAAATGATTTCGAGGCGGCGGAATCGACCGTTACAAACTTTCCGAAGCAACCACAATCTCTCGGTTGCTCTCCGGCGACGCCTAGCCGTCTAGGACCGAAGAGTCCAAGAGTAACAAATACGAATCATGAGATTGACAATATGCATAAGTGCTCAAGTGGTGGCTTGCTCTCTTTTTCAAATTCTCTCTTAACCCACAAATTGATTTTGCAATTTGGATCACACACTCACTAAGAGAGGGTTGGGAGAGTTGGCAAGGCTCAAAAACATGTGTCTATCTCAGCAGAATCAGCAGCCTCCAAAGATGGAGGCTTGGGGGTATTTATAGCCCCCTTGGAAGAACTAGCCGTTTTATAGCCGTTGCAATACCGGACATGTCCGGTATGACTTACACTGCACCAACGGTAACTAAGTTACAGTGATGTTGTGAGGCGTCAGAACTCCCGATGAAAGCCGGAACTTCCGACCGTCGGAACTCCCGACTCACGTGGAACTCCCGACCCTCAGCAAATTTGAAAACCATGTAACTGAGTTAAAGTTAGTGAGGTGTCGAAACTCCCGATGCATGCCAAAACTCCCGACCGTTGGAACTCCCGACTTACATCGTAACTCCCGACCCTCAAGACTTTTGAAAACTAGCCGTTGGCCTCTGGTCGTCCATACCGGACACGTCCGGTATGAATATCGGACACGTCCGGTATGACCACCACCACAGTGAACACTCCAAATTATTTAAATTGCGAGTCGTCGGAACTCCCGACCATTGCCGGAACTTCCGACCGTCGGAACTCCCGATATGCGTCGGAACTCCCCACGAACCAACCCGAGAACAACATTTTTATAGTTACTGGGCAAATACCGGACATGTCCGGTATGCGCGTCCGGTATGGCCAGACCAGCAACAACTCAATTAGCTCTTTTGTCTCTCAAACATTCAAATCTCATATGGGTTGTCTTGAGCACTTATGAAACATTATCTATCAACATGATGCATCCCTCTTAATAGTACGACATTCCTATTTACTCAGATTTAAAAGTATAACGGATTTAAACCTTTTGAGTTGCTCTTTTTGAACCGAAGCCGTGTATTCCAATCTTCATCAAGTAATGGTGCCGACATGTTGATATTGACCTTTTTCACTAGAGCATAGCTATCTTGAGCACGTGACTTGATTCCATTCATCATATTTGAATAATCCCAAATGTATCAAGTCACTTCCATCAAACACTCCAACAGTGATTTGATCCTTCACATAAACATGGCCATCATAACTTGATTAGTTCCTCAACTAAATGTAAGTACTTCGTTCTTCACCCTAGCTAGGTTCTTCGGCTGTCAAGCCGTCGCTTGCCCTTCACCCTTGCTTAGTACCTCGAAGCCTTTCCTTGCTATCTTCACCATCTCAAGCCATCAAGTCACATCTTGTGTTGAATCATTCATTCATGTATTGTTATCTTTTTCATTTCAATTTTAGCAAACTTCAAATATGAGACCATTCCATATACAAACCCTTATGTCTCATTAATTAATTCTCACAAGCCTGCTTTCACAAAATACATTGAAATCCCACAATAAACAAGCCTTTGCATGAATTTCATTTGCATTGTTGTCTTGTGCTTGAACTAGATTGTTTATATAACAACACATCATTTTGGCTTTTATTAAGTACCTATGAGATAACCTATTACCTGTCCACACTTAGCAAACGGGTTAGACCTTTAATCACGTTGTCATTCAATCATCCAAAACCCACTGAAGGGCTAGATGCACTTTCAAAAACATTTGGTTTTTCTATTGGTGTACAAGCTCATTGAATTGGCATTGTTAGTGCTGGTATCAACTGCTAATGTGGAAAGATTGTTCTCAGCAATGAAAATTATTAAGTCTAAATTGTGGAACAAGATTGTCGACGATTGGTTGAACAACTTGATGGTGTGCTATGTTGAGCGAGAATAAGCTACTATTCTTCGACGGTTTCAAAATTTGAAGACTAGAAAGATGCAACTTCCTCCTAGTCGTATGCTTGGGCCCCGTTTGCTTCGCTGAAAAAAAACGAAACAAATAATGTTCCGATTGATTTGTTGTGAGAGGAAAACATCGTTCTGGCTGAAAAAACAAGCTGAAAAGTACGGATTATAAGAGAAGTGATAGAGCCTTGGTAGTTAGAAACTAGCGTGTGATTTTTTTCTGTTAAATTTTACTCTCCATATCTATGATGTGAACATGTGTTGTAACATGATTTTGATTAAGACTAATGAGGTTGTCAACTTGTCACATTTTACTTGTACTGTGATCTACTCCTTCTGTCTGTCCTGTAATATAGTGCATTGTAAGAATTTAAGACAAATTAAGAGAAAATATAAAAGACGCATGTACCCTCATTTTATTTTATAATCAGACGCTATCATCAATGTGATTAGTGGTGATTGGTTGATAAATGGAAAGTATTTAATGTAAAATTGGTTTTTATTCTCTAGAATGCATTATATTTGAGGATATTTTTAAATGCTAGAATACACTATACTACGGGGCGGATGAAGTATATTTCTAAGCGCTTGCTATTTAGATTATGTTTGTCTCCTAGGCTCCTCAAATTTCCGGGTCCACCACTGCTCCGATATATGTTGTGATGCATGCAGTCACTTCTGACTCCAACACACTAATGTACCAGCGTAGTGCCCCACGAGACAAAACATTGGTAAGCATCCTATTTGCTTGATCGTATCAGTCATATTTATCAGTTATGATATAATATTTTTCTCTCACAACAAAACAGTATCAGCCGGCTTATAAGCCACAGAAATGATCAAGCGAACAGGGTGAAGATTGTGTTTCAAGGTCTTTTCCATATAACGATCTTGAAAATAATAAACCTGAAAAAAAACACGTCGGCATCTGCTGATGCGCTTTCTTCATCAGAAGACGCAAGTCATCATCAAATAATAATGTCTTATGCGTTCGGCGCCTTGCATATTCATCAATGTTGCCAGTAGTTACCATATCGACAAGAAAAAAAATGTTTTCTTTGCTTCTTCCTTCAGCTTCACGTACGACGGAGACGCCGATCAAATCCAGGGGACGACACGACGGACAAGAGTAGGCAGCCGTAATTAGTCGTATTTGTGCCGTGCACGAACGCCACGAAGTTTAGATTAGCCTTTTCTTAGTGGAAATTCCAACTTTTTCCTTTTGGATAGGAAATTCAGATTAGCTGCTTGTGTATCGTCGCCGCTCTTTGTCACGGGGCCCAGGTCCGAAGCTCTTTGTCACGCTGCATGGCACAGTGACCAGCCTACTAATAACTGCCACCACCGCGGAGCCCCCATCGAAGGAGCTCACCACTCGCTCGTGCTGACTGTGCCTGCGACGAAGCGGCCACTGTGCTGTGCGTCGTCACTCGTTAGTCTCTCTCTCAGTGCGTGTGTGTGAGGCAGAGGAAGAGATGGCGAGGCGCTTCGTGCTCAACACCGGCGCCGAGATCCCCTCGGTGGGGTACGGCACCTGGCAGTCCAAGCCGGACGTGGTCGGGGACTCCGTCTACACCGCCGTCAAGGTTCTCCACTCCACTCGCCCCTACCTTCTCTCTACCCCACGCGCTTTGATTTCTTCTGATCATTCCCCGCCGCCGCGCGCCCTAGTTCCTTTTTTTGTGAAATTGTTGGGTGGTACCATTTCCTCCGGGAGAATCACGGATGTGAAATTGTTTTCGGATCGTGCAGGCAGGGTACCGACACATCGATTGCGCCAGGGCTTACCGCAACGAAAAGGAGGTAATAATCACTTCTGCATTCCAAGCATCACACCCGTATATAGTTCACGAGCAGCATCTGCAGCTCCAGCGTTAACTACTACTCTATAGTCTATATGCTTGCCTGCAAATATTGTCTCAATTCAAATTGGTAGCAATTATTGGAGTATGGAGAGCGCTAACATCCACTTTCGTTCGGGTTATCCAGATTGGTTTGGCGCTGCAGAAGCTATTCGAAGAGGGTGTGGTGAAGCGTGAAGAATTGTTTATCACCTCTAAGCTATGGTATGCTCAAAGCTTCAGGGCTGAGTATCCAGATGTTTATTAATTCACTTTCTTGCAGAAATTTCTTTGCAGTTCAAGTTTACTGAGTATCCAGATGCTTGTTTGGAGGTTTAAGTCCCTCATGTCTTATTGATCTGTGATTATGTTTAAGGCATGATCATCATGCTCCAGAAGATGTGCCGGAGTCACTCGACAAAAGCCTGAACGACTTGCAGCTCGAGTACTTGGATCTTTACCTTGTATGCATCTTCCATTTCAGAGTCATGTTTCACTACCTATTTGCTCTAATCTTGCCTTTGTCTCATTACAATCTCACTGTGTGTACTTTACATTGAGATTACTACTCTACTTTTAGATACTCATTTTTTCTTATTTATTTACTAAGGCGTCTCAGCAAGCGAGGGGTATTGATCTCAATCGAACTACAATAAACCTAAGATTTACTAGGTTTATCGACACATATATGTTATCCATGCCAGTCCATTGCTTAGTAATTCTATAGTTTATAATCTGGAAACAGGATCCTCTATTGTCCATGGATATGTGTGTTCTGATTCCTGTAATCTAGTCACACATCCACATCCAACTCAACGAACTATGTTCGAGTATCCACCATTTAACACCCATACATGTTTCTCCATATGCTTTGCTACAGATTTATATTATGTTTTAACTTTTGGTGTGAATTGGTTTATTATCTCAAGTTTACTCTGGGCATCATGAATACTCCCTACATTATAGAAAAGATATTAAATGTTTTGGTGAATTTTACCACTTTTTTAATTGAATTATGTTTTTCTTTGACATAGAGTTAGATGATTACCTATTGGAGCTATTTAACATTATTTTAATGAATATTTTTTAAATAATAATAATCAGTGAATGATTTTGTAGATACATTGGCCATTTAGACTCAAGAAGGGGACCGACTGGAGTAGCCCTGATAACTTTCTTCCACCTGACATCCCAGCTACTTGGGGAGCAATGGAAAAATTATATGATAGTGGCAAAGTTCGCGCAATCGGTGTGAGTAACTTCTCAACAAAGAAATTAGGTGACCTGCTTGGCGTAGCCCGTGTACGTCCAGCTGTTAATCAGGTGGAATGTCATCCGGGTTGGCAGCAAACTAAGCTCCATAGCTTTTGTCAGTCAACTGGTATTCATCTCTCTGTAAGTCTGCACTGCACTTTTTAAGGGGCTGGCTATCTTATGTTAAAGGCTATGTTCTTATTGTTACTCACTTTGCGTCTGCATTTTGCAGGCGTACTCGCCACTAGGTTCACCTGGCACGGCTTGGATGAAGAGTAACGTCCTGAATGAACCAGTCGTCACCTCGATAGCAGAAAAACTTGGGAAATCTCCTGCACAGGTGGCACTAGGCTGGAACATTCAGATGGGTCACAGTGTACTACCAAAGAGCCTGAACGAGGGAAGGATAAAGCAAAATCTTGATGTTTATGATTGGTCTATTCCAGATGACTTGCTTGCAAAGTTCTCCGAGATTAAACAGGTTTGTGATTCTCTTTAGAATACTTAGTAAATGGGGACAATCTTGCATTGATATTTTTATTACGGCTGGACATCTTTTATAGGATGGGATTATATCTTGGAATTTCACCATGTTGAAATTCATAGGATTTGACTCTACCCTGACAACTGACAAAGAAATCCATGTGTTAATCTCTGTGCTTGGTTGGAGGCTTGCAGAATGATAATTGCTATAATCAAGTCTCTGCATAGCTCTTTTTATTTTGTTGCTTGAACATGATAGAAAAAGCATCTTGACCCCTTGTGTTACCAATTGCTTCGTCGAAGAATAGCCGTAACACCATTTCCAAATGTTTGATGCAGCCTTTGGTAGTGCCGCATAGTTCTTTTTCCAATCAATTTTGTTCAGACATAAGATTATCAATTTTTTTTTTTGTATTTTCGGGGAAAACAAGTTCAGACTTCAGAGGACCATTTTGAATTTCTTTAGATATTTTTTTCAAATCAATTTATCTCGTTGTTATTTACATTCTCCTAGAGTTTTTTTTTTTTCATAGCGCAGACTCTGCAGAGTTCATCTGACTACCTTATTTTGTGCCCATCAGGTTCGGTTGGTCAGAGGCGACTTCACAGTTAATCCAAAGAGCGTTTACAAGACCCTTGAGGAGCTCTGGGATGGGGAAATTTAGTATCGATCTTGGAGTTTATCCTGAGCAGGGAGAAACCTATATTAGTGCCGAGCACTTGGCATACACCTCCATATTCGCGCATAGAAAATAATGGTTGACCGCTCGTTACCTAGCACTTTTCACGAGCTTCTGTTTGTAAGCGATCTCATCCCTAGTGTCACCTTGGTTTTCTGTTCTGAATGAAGCAGTTAATCACCCTGGCAGGCGGCTGGATTTTATCCGATCCTGTGCTACCAGTATGTATCTGCATCAGACAATTGGCACCGCCTATCTGTACACGGTTATCTACTTGTATATAAGGATAACTTATTTGTCCGTGTGAATATGATTAGCACATTAACACTATTGTGCCTGTGCTGTGCGTAGCATCTAGCATTGCACAACTGCACGAAACAATTGCCCGTTTTGAACAATGCTGGCGTTGGCGTGGCGGGTCTCTGGCCACGGGGGCTGATGATGGGCTCTGTTTCGTCACAGGCCACCGTCAAGCCCGATCCGAAGCCACGCACAAGCAGAACATCGGCCCAGCTGATGGGAACGGTGCGAGGAGCCCAAGCGGGAGCCAGGCGTTCAGCGCGGAACTCGAACATCCTTCACTTTCGGCTTCCGTTCCACGCGGAAAAGATTCAGACGAAACGCGAAACTCCGGCGGTGGTGGGGGGCCTTTCTGCTCTGGCCGAGCAAATTCCCGAAGAGAGAAGAGAACCAACCGAGCGAGCAACCGACGAGGCGATGAGACAAGACAGCGCTGCCAAGTTTCAGGCGAACGAACGGCGGTTTGGTCCACTGATCTGCCGGTTTCTCCCATGATGTTGAACAAACAGGAAAGCCGCATCAGAGCTTGGAACCGAGAGGGGAGAGGGTGAATCTTGAAAGCCCCATGCATCGGTATCGCCCGACGGTGGGTGATCGTCGACATGTGCCAGTGGCTACGTGGCCGCTTCCGGGCCCAACGTACCCGTGAGTGACTCCGGTGCGCACAGACCACGGAGACACAAGGCCGATACGTTGGCATCGGTGATGCGTTTCAGGGAAAAAAAAAAGGAGGGCGAGCTTGTGATCCCGTCACTGCTTACGCTCGTGAGTCGTGATACCGACGATTCGCCAATCCCATTTGAGAACCTCCTCGTTTGGGTGTACATATATTCTTTTCAATCTATTTGCGTTGAAGTGGATTGGAGTAGAATTGAACTAAGTTCTATTCCATTTTACTCCACGTGGATTGAAGTAGATACTGTGAACAGACCGTGCTCAACCTCTGCGTTGCCTCATTGGCTGCCAATTCGGCTGGACCCTGGACCCTGGACCCCTGGACGACTCGCTCTTTGTCTTTGGCCCTCCATGAATGCTGATGCCACTCGTCATAGGCTCCAATGGCGGCAGCTGGACCCTGGACCCTGGACCCCTGGACGACTCGCTCTTTGTCTTTGGCCCTCCATGAATGCTGATGCCACTCGTCATAGTGCGGATGATGCTACATGGTCAAAGAGCTCTGCTCTACGATTGCGGACAAAAAGGTTTCTCCACTTCACCTCCTTCTCTAGATGCCAAAAGAAGAACCCGGGGAGGCGGGGACACGGCGCAATCGACGAAGAGCAGGAGTAGGTAACCATAATTATCACCCCCGTCTGGTCGTGTCAGCCACATTCCACAAATGACAATACGATTTCAGACCCTGTTTGATATACTAGCAGCTACTCTTGTTGGCTGACCGATAAATTCATATATAAAATAGCTAGCTAACTACTCCTGTTAGTTGAGTATTATTTGGAATGTTGGATGCACCGGCTAAAAGTGGATGTATTTGTGGTTTTGTCTATAATACTCTTCAATTTCTGTTTGTTATTGCTTATTGAAAGAGCACCGAATTAAGCCCCTTTGGCAGGGCTTCATGAGCGGCTTTTGCACCGGCTTCTCAAGAAGCCGTACCAAACGCCCCCATGCAAAACGGCTCGCACGCAAAAGCCGCTAGAAGCTGCACCAGGTTTTCTACTGCGTGGGAGAAGCCAAAAAAGTGGCTTTCCCCGGCTCATCCATCTCCACAAACGCAAAAAGACGCATGTGCCCTTATCCTTTCACCAAAATTACAAACATTTTGCCACTAGGGTGGTGGTGCAAAGAACGCTGGGGTGTGGCGGGCGACAGGCCTCGGCGCATGCCGGTCTTGAGGCGAACAGCAGCGACTTGGCGTGGGGCGGAGCTGGCTCAAGGAGGGTGACGAGGCACCAGTGAAAGTGGGAGAGGGAGGCGGTGGCCTTGGAGGCACAGGGAAGGTCTCCTCCACCACGGCCACCATGCCACCACCAGCACCACCACCACCGCCACCACCGCCGCCACGCCACGCCAGGGGCTGGGAGGGGAGGGGAGGGGCCGGCTGGCGGGAGGAGGAGGGGGCGGCGCCGGCAGGGAGGCGACGAGAGAGAGAGAGAGGAGGGAGAGAGAACCGAACGGATCGGATAAGGAGAGAGGGAGGCCGATCGGATAAGGAGAGAGAGAGGAGGGGAAAAGAAAAGAATGGGAGAAGGAAAGAGAAAAAAAAAAGAAAAGGAAAAGGAAAATAAAGAGAGAAAAGAAAAGAGAGAAAAAATATAAGGGCATTTTGGACATTTCACGTATTCTTTACCTTCTAAAGAGCTAGGAAAAACCGTTTTGCCAAACGTTTTCGTACAAAATAAGCTAGAGTCAGAAAATGTTGCTTTTCCATATGAGCCAGAGCTAAAGCTATTTTTCACGAGTCAAAGCCGTGCCAAACGGGCCCTAAATATACCTATAAGGACAAAAGTGTCTTTTTGTAATATATTAGCTATGAACTGAGACAAATAGTGAGATAGGTATTAGCTAGATGTCCAATAACAATTAGCTAATCAATTAGTTGGATCTGTGAGTTCATCCAACTATTTTTTAGATAGATAGAAAGATAGTTATTAGCTGGATATCCAGGTAACAATTATGTCCAAATAACAATTAGTTGGATCCGTCCCAACTAATTCTTAGCAACCGCTTTCTTTCTCCTAAGTATATGGCGCCGTTCGGTTGGTAAGAAAACTAGCCGGAATTCACTGTTCACGATTGGTTTTCACTGTTCACGCTCTCACAAAATTCTTCAAATTTCTCTCAGCGAACAGAACCTATATGTCAAGATCAAGGAAGGCATTTATTTCTGCATGCATTGAGCTAGGCTGGACGCTTGGTTTATGTCGTTGGCTTCTCTTGCTCACACAGCCAATTATATCCTAGCACCTAATTACTTATATGCACATTAATTCAACTAAAAGAGTACATCCTCTTCATAGGAAGTGAATGTACGTGTGTTGTGAGTGTCTACGTTATTCTGTAATCGAAAAACAATATATCATCTACTGTGAGACTAAAAAAAGGTTGCACGTTCGGAGTCGAAATGGAGATTAGATGAATTGCAATGTGAGCGATACAAAGGCAATGATGTGTGTACTTGCAGTAGGAAAGTCCTTCGAAAATGTTACCGAGCTCGTGAACGAGTGCTTGTGTTGTGTATGACGATCCAAATCACCCTTACCGAAAAGGAAATCACGGCATTGGAATGCTCCGGAGAGGCGAAAAGCAGAGTGCTCTTTCAGGTAGTCAAAGATCCGATCCCATGCCCATGCTGCACATGCATGCTGTGTCAGTACTAGTGTTGTGGTCCGTGACCGGTCGTTTTCACGGCCGGGAAACCAGAAACCCCGGGAAGCCACTTGGCGCACCCGCACCAGCCTCTAGTCGGCCAGTCGGAACGAAATCCCCCGAACGAGCGAGGCCACCGGGTGCCCGACGCGGACCCTGACTTTAGAGCCTATGACTCTATGGCTTTTGACGTCGAGAAAACACGTTTCGGCGTCATGCTTAATGTTGAGGTTTGATGAGGCGTCGAACGTGACGGTGACCTGACATCGATGTGGATAAAGTCTCGGCGCCGCGCCGTAGATTTTGGTGTTTGAAATGAAACCTAGTATAATTATTTGAAAAACATATAACAACGCCGTTGCGGTTCAGCTGATTAGGATGTCCGTGACTTAGCTTAGATGCCTGAGTTTTAAGGAAGTTTTCAAAGAGGTGCGGAACAGACAATAAAAAAACGAAACCAAGTACATCGCGAATAAATGCCTTTTTTCCCCTGATGACAGATACAGGAAGCACAAGGAAACTAAAAAACAATACCTGGATTATTCAAGAAACATCTACACACTAGTATGTATATATTCTAACATGATTTTAATTTGAGTATGAAAGGATTTGTACGAATTAAATGCAATTACAAGACAGACCAATTTAAAGCACCTTACACACTACTACACTAGCACCTCTTTTCCTGTGACAAGATTAATTAAGCTAAACCAATTTACACGATCGGAAATTTCCCATGAACATATCTGTCGGATACCATAAAAAAGGAAACCCTAAGCAAGAACCGAAAAAAATTACTTAGACCTTATAAATAACGAAACCAAAATACAACCGCGGACAAACCCGTCACATCCAAGGCCCGGCCCACCTCGAACAAGCATCGGCCAGAACCATACCACGAGGCCTCGGGACGAGCCACCGTTCTTCGACCGTCCGAGGAACCATACCACGAGGCCTCGGACGAGCCACCGATTCTCCGACTCGCCCGAGGCCCCACGCCACGAGGCCGAGCCACCGATTCTCCGACGCGCCCGAGGCCCCGCGACACGAGGCCTCGGACAAGCCACCGATTCTTCGACTCGCCCGAGGCCCCGCGCCACGAGGCCTCGGACGAGCACCCAGTTACCGACTCGCTCGAGGCCGGCTCGGCATCAACCCCGCCGCCGCTTTGACCGACTTCTCTGACGGAGCGTCACATCCAACTGAAGCGTTCAACCACTCCCACAACGTCAGCCGCACGACGACATAGTACAGCGGAGTGACCGACGAGACGGAAGTCACATCAACGCCCTGCCATCCGGGACAGGACGGGGCGGGGGTTACCGGCCGCTGTGCTCGGCACTGTGCCCATGACTGACGTCCGTGCTACGCTATGCTACCTAACCCCTGCTCCAAGGACAGCGCGGCATGGAAAGTCATGCCCGGGACCCTGTAGCCTAGGAATCGACGCACAAGGCCAACTGATCTCTCCGAGCCTCGGCTAAACCGCTCCCGGGTTCCTGTAGCCTCGGGGCTTGCACCCGCCAAGCCCCCCACGATGGCTCAGCCTCTGCACCGACTGGACCTCGGCTCTCTACATCACCGACGCGCTTGGACCGGCACGTCGCCCGCAGTACGCGCCACGCCCTGCGTCAGGCTGCAGGAGCTCCCACGTCGTGCACGGGGCCTAGCCCCTGTAGCCTCGAAATCAGCGTACCCGCGCCGTCGTATCAACCCGGCCTCGGCTCTCCGCGCCGGTCAAACCCACAGCGACCAGCACGTCTCCAACAGAAGAAGGCGCGCCTGCCGAGCCACCACAGGAGCTCCCACGTCGCACAGGATCGGGCGTGACCAGCGCGTCGCTCCAGTGCACCGAAGACAAGACCGCTCCACCGACCATATCGCCACAGTGACAAGCTGCAGGGCTCGGACATGCCGCCTCCGCCAAACAGAAAACACCACGTAGCAAATACATGTACCGCCCCTGCGCCCCCCTTCGGCTATAAAAGGAAGTGACCAGGGCCGCTCCTGGAGAGGGGATCAGATCTCACACACACAACCCGTGCAAAGGAGGACACAACCCGTGCAAGCCACGCACAATACTCTGTAACACACACTCATTCTCTGCAAGAGATCAACATCTCAAGCAACACACACTGCAATTCACAGAGACCTAGGGCTAGCTCCATCTCTCACCTAGCTTGTAAGCCCCTACTACGAGCACCTCGGTGCAAGGAATACAAGATCGCTCCCTCAGACTGAACGTAGGGCACCTATTGCCTGAATCAGTATAAACCTTATGTCTCTTTGCATCACTATTCAGGATTAGAAACACGCAGTACACTTTCACTAGTCGGTTCGAGGACCCGGTCCAAAACACCGACAATATCAGAAAGCGTATTACCATGATTTATCCCATCTCAAACGCATTTGTTCATCAAATCGATCAGCCGACCAACGCATCCAACTTTAGTTGATTTGTGGAACCAAATAAGCAACCGATTCATTCATGCTCATGGCCGCCACGCCACGTATGTAAATCCTCGTCTCGGAGGTAGCTCAGGCATGCACGCACGACGTCGACGAGTTGCTGATCGATCAGTGGGATTTGCTTGGTCAAGTACACACGCCGGTGCTCGCCTAGGACGATGACGAGTCGGAGGCGGCGGCGGCGGGCTCCCGGATCTCGTCGATGCGCGCGATGACCATCTTGAGGTCCCACCTCCGGTCGACGTCGGCGTCGCAGCAGGCCAGGCCGACCTGGAGCAGCTTCACCATGTCGGCCTCGCAGCCCCTGGCCCCCATGATGTCCTTGTCGAACACCTCGCCGGTGCGCTCCTCCGTGACGACCGACTGCACCCACCCAGCCAGGTCGGCGTTGCCCTGCCGCCCCTGCCGGAGGTAGTTCGCCGAGAACTTGCCCGTGAGTATCTCCAGGATGAGGATCCCCAGGCTCCACACGTCGCTCTTCTTGGACGGCTTCCCTTGCGGCGCGATGCCCTCGGGCGCCTTGTACGCCACCATCACCTGCGCCGCGATCTCCGCACCCTGTGAAAACTTCCTTCATACACTTGCATTTTATTTTATGAGCATGTTATTGTAAAAAAATCGGATCATTGCACGTTTCTCGAAATAATTTTTCCGTTCTATTGCTCATAAAAATATAGGGTTTGAATCCAGACCTCTGAGCTAAGTCGTCCGCGTCCCGTTCTTAGCTAAACCGTAATGGCGTTGTTGCATGTTCCTCGAAACAATTATACTTGTTTCAAACACCAAGATCTATAGGGTAACAGTTCGACGCCAAGATCTACTGGCGCCTTACGAAATTTCGGTATTCGAAGAGATCTACGGCATACCGATGCTTTTCATCGCGTCGTCGCGCCAGTCACAGTCACGTCCGACGTCTCGCCAAGACCTCGGTGCCATTAGCCATGACGCCGAGACATGTTTCCTGGACGCCAAAAGGCATGGTGTCGAGATCAGGGTTCATAAACGAAAATCAAACCTATTTGTGAATATCTTAAAAAAAAGCTGAAAATTAAAAAATTCGGCCGGCCTCGCCGGCCGGGCCCGCCGCCATATATAGGCAGGCACCACTCCCTCTCCTCGCGACCACCGCTGCTTCCCGTGCTGCGCCCGCCCCCTCTACGTTCCCCATTTCCGGCGCTGCTGCCCTGTCCGTGTGACAGAGAGACGCAGAGAGAGGTGGCGATGGCGCGGCACTTCGTGCTCAACACCGGCGCCAAGATCCCCTCCGTGGGGCTCGGCACCTGGCAGTCTGACCCCGGCGTCGTTGGCAACGCCGTCTACGCCGCCGTCAAGGTCCGTATAAACCCGCGCCCGCCTCCTGTTTTCTCCCCACTCCCTTCACTGTCCAGATTACATTTTTTCCCTTTATAATCCCTTTGTGTAACCCTGTTTCCTGGGTTGTGGGAGATCCTTCTTCTCCGAGGAAGAATCTCACATGATTGCTTTCGGATCGTGCAGGCGGGTTACCGACACATCGATTGTGCCAGAGTTTACGGCAATGAAAAGGAGGTAACAGTTAACTAGTTTTGTACTCCCCCTTCCAAATTGTGGCTAGCTTTTGGTTGGTCACTCACTCATGCGTTCAAAGCGTGTCGGCCAATAGATTCACTTCCTTATGGTTCTTTTTTTTTTTGTGCGTGTATGACTTGTTATTTATTCTCCTGCACATGCATCTAGAGAATAAGAAAAACAATGATACAAGTACTGCAATCTAGGAGTACAAACCATATCCCTCCATGTGAGAACCATACCGTTATACCAGAAATTTCTTCTGTCCATTTAACATTTACATGGGCAAAATATCGCTGTCCATTATGGGCTCATAGTGAACCTGACTTAGGGTATAAATAAAGGCCTGATTAAGGACTATTCTGAAGCTCAGTGGCCAAATTGACATGGCTTTATGGCATGCATAGCTCGCAAGCAGCATTTACCCCTCTTAGGATAAGACATGTGTTGCCTGCAATATTGTCTCCATTCATATTGCATAACAATTGGAGCAATGAAAGCCTGATATCCATTTTTGGATTGTCCAGATTGGTGTGGCGCTGAAGAAGCTATTTGAAGAGGGTGTAGTGAAGCGAGAAGATCTGTTTATCACCTCTAAGCTATGGTATGCTCAAATCTCTGGTGATATTCCAATATTTATGTCTCATGCATCTCAAGTTGAGTATATTGATGCCTATTTGAAGTTTTCAATCATTCCTGTCGACCTGATTTGGGGATGGCTTATGTTTCCAGGAATGATCATCATGCTCCTGAAGATGTGCCTGAGTCACTAAATGAAACCCTGAATGATTTGCAGCTTGAGTACTTGGATCTTTATCTTGTACGCATCTCCTATTTACAATTATATATTTCAATGCCTGATTTCCTCTATTCTGGTCTCTATACCATTAACATCTCCCTTTGTGTGTGCTGATATAGCTACTTCTGTATATTTTCATTTATTTTTTTATGAAGAAAAGTCTCCTTGGCAAGCTGAACTAATTTATGCTTAAATGTTAATCATAGTTACTGGCAAAATTATATATCCATGCCAGTCTATTGCGTGCTATATCTATGTATGGTTTCTAATGTGGAAACTGGAAACATGGTTTTCTATGCCATTTATTGAATATATGTGCTCCTATTCCCTGAATTCTGTCTGTTCAGTTAGCCATATTACCATATTTCTTTCAAAAAAAAGTTAGCCATATTACATCCATGGGCGTTCCTCCATCTTATTTGGTGATTGACACGGTGTTCTTGATTTCTGGTGTAAAACTGTTTATTGTTTCAAGGTCACTTCTGCTGTTTGTTTTTGGCATCTTGAATACATTGCAGAGAATATCATGTATGTTTGATGAATTTTGTCTTTTATGTTGTGCAACATTTTTTCTGTGGTGCCTTCAGATTGTTGTTTGATGATTATGTTTGAAAGTTGAAACTGTTTAGTTAAGCATGATGTTTACGAATGATTCAATTAAAATCTCAGATCATCTGTGTTTTTTGTAGATCCATTGGCCATTTAGAGTCAAGAAGGGAACAAACCACAGTCCAGAAAATTTTGTTACACCTGACATCCCTGCTACTTGGGGGGCAATGGAGAAGTTATATGATGCTGGCAAAGCTCGTGCTATTGGTGTGAGTAACTTCTCCTCAAAGAAATTGGGTGACTTGCTTGCTGTGGCTCGTGTACCTCCTGCTGTTGATCAGGTGGAATGTCATCCTGTTTGGCAGCAAACTAAGCTCCATAGCTTTTGTCAGTCAACTGGTGTTCATCTTACTGTAAGTCTGATTACCGCACATATTGCTTTATCACTAAACAAGCTAGATTGCTTTTGCTGAACAAAATTTTTCTATTGTTTTTTAATCTGTATGTATGTTGCAGGCTTACTCACCACTAGGTTCACCTGGTACAACTTGGATGAATAGTAATGTCCTTAAAGAACCAATAATCATCTCAATAGCTGAGAAACTTGGGAAAACTCCAGCACAAGTGGCTCTGCGCTGGAACATTCAGATGGGTCATAGTGTACTTCCAAAGAGCACGAACGAAGAAAGGATAAAGCAAAACCTTGATGTTTATGATTGGTCAATTCCAGAGGACTTGCTTGCAAAGTTCTCTGAGATTAAGCAGGTATATGTGTAGTGAGTACCCTTCACAATACTTCAATGAGGATAAAATTAAATAGATATTTGTTGATCATGATTAAACATCTTTATAGGATAATGTACATTTCAAAATGTTACCTTGTGTCCTTGTTATGCTCCTTCGAAATTCATATGGTTTGGATTTATTCTGATAAACAAACCACTTGGAGGATTTTAAATTGCTAGGGTTAAGTAGCACCTGTACTTTTTTTTAGCTTTCTTGGAACTCGAAGCTCCAGTGGTGCTGTGACATGAATCTAGTAAGGGTGCCTACTTATTTTTCCCTTGATCGTGCACGTGCAAACAAATAATTACTATAAACATATCATTATACATTTAAGTCAAATTATGTTTCAGCGAGATGCTGTTCCCCTGCCCTTAATGCACCCCCGCACACCAGCTGAAAATTTGGCCTGGTGCTGTAGTCACAGTTCTCTGGCAACCTAGGATGTTTTTGAATAATAAGATCATCAACCCCATGACCGGATTGCCCCTTGTATTCTTTTCATAGCCATGCTCAACCTTGAATATATGGTGCTATATGTACAAACTCCATGAGAACAAATATTGCATCACATCTCATATCTGTAGCCCCCAAGGCCCCTTGTTTGTGGCTCGCTAATTCTTTCTTGAAATGCTGCCACTAGATTTACTTATCTTCATGCCTTGATTATTATAAGGTAAGAACCTTTCCCTCTGAGATTCTAATGAAAAGGAAAAAACATAAAAGATGTGCGAGTCCAAGAATACTTGCTGTAAGATTAATAAACACATTTTTATAACTTTGGATTTCTGAATATTGTGATTCTTACCTGGCATGAAAATACTTGTAGATGTCCGACTTTGTGCTATTAGGTGCTGACACATGACAAGTCTGGATAGAGTGTTGTTTCATGCCTTATTATTCACCTTGGGTAGAATAGAAGCCAATCCACGCCATCATTGTCCAATGATCATTTTTTGCTTGTTGCATAGGGAAAAGCTGTATGTCCCTTGTCTATATCGTTCAATGTAAACCACTTTTCCATAAACACGAAAAAAGTCATCAATTGCTTTTCTAGAAGAATGCCAGTAAAAATTTCTGAACCTTTTTTTTTCATGTAATCCAGTTCATTAAATCAACAATTTTGAACTATTAATTTGCATCCATCCCTTTGAGACCCTTACATAACACGACTGAATGCATCTGACAAATTTATTTTGTGATCTTCAGGCTAGGCTACTTAGAGGCAACTTCCTTGTTAATCCAGTGAGCGTTTACAAGACCCATGAGGAACTCTGGGATGGTGAAATTTAGGAAGGACACCGTTGTTCATCCTGAGCAGGGAGCAGCGTTCCATTAGGGCCTGCCAGATCATTTTATCTCCAAATTTGCTCTTTTGAAATGAAGGTTCAGTGCTCGGTAGCAATGATGCCATTCTGTATATCACGAACTGTTCGGAAATTTGTCAGCGGTTTACTTTGTACTACAGGATGTGCTGCTGCAGTCCATCCTAGTGCCGCTTGATTTTTCTGGTAAACTGTGACCAAAGATGTTAATTCGCCAGGCATCATTAGTCTGTATTGGAATTTCATCGCTTTATCACCCAACACTATTTTTTATGCTCCATTTATTCTCTGTGAATTTAGTGCGTATCCTATAAACAAATGTGCATTCAACGTATGAAATCGTCGTATAAATGTCGCCTGATTCCCGATCTAATTTTTGCTGGGCAAACAGTTCTCGATCGTTCCTGCAACCATGCAGATGCAGAGCACTAGATTCCGTGTACAATCGACAAACAGCCTGTTTGGCTGGGCTTATACAGTCGTAAACGATCGTAAATTTTTAATCAAAACAATATTTTTCTCTCATATTAAATCAGTCAGCAGAATTTCCTCACGAACCAACGACGAGAAAGGCCAGCCAAACGAAAGGCGTGTTTGCAGGCGCCAGGCCCAGGCTAGGCGCGACTGAAATGGGGCCGCGGTTTCGGCATCTTTAGCTCGCTTTTTCTTGGCACGCGCGCTCGACTGGCCGGGACACCGGACGTGTGTGTCCGTGGCAGTTCCCGTCGCGTTGCGCCGTTGCCAAAACCGTATCCTTTCCTCGGTATCCAGCACGACTCTCTCACCAGGCGACCACCATACCGTCGCTCTCGACCAGACCGAGACAGCGACGGAAGAGGAGAGCGGCGAGCGGGCCGGCAGAGAGAAGTGGAGGAAGAAGATGGCCACCTATTTCATGCTCAACACCGGGGCTCGCATCCCCTCGGTAGGGCTCGGCACCTACAAGGCCGGCCCCGGCGTCGTCGCCGACGCGATCACCGCCGCCGTCAAGGTCTTCGCCTCTCCCTCCTCGAGCACTCTTTGTTCCGAATGTGCTGTTCAGTTTGTTTTGCTCACAAGTATGTTCCGTGTACGTGCTGCTTGAGCCCGGGTCTTATTAGTCCTTGCTTTCTTGCTTGCTTGTCATGGCAGGCCGGGTACCGGCACATCGACTGCGCGCCGCTATACAAGAACGAGAAGGAGGTAGCCTTAATCCACCCTGCAATTAGTATCTTCGATTCACATTTGCGATGGCAGTTTGGTTATAGTTGCCCTTAACGCGTGTCTCAGATTGGCGTTGCTCTCAACAAGCTCTTTGATGACGGCGTCGTCAAGCGACAAGACCTGTTCATCACTTCAAAGATATGGTACTACCTTGGTCCTTGGATACTGTTTCTTCTGTAGCCATTTTTTTCGCGTCCATCAATCTCGTAACAACCGGAGAGACGTACAAGCTATGCAGGTGCAGTGATCTCGCGCCTGAAGACGTTCCGTTGGCAATCGACAGCACTCTGAATGATCTGCAGCTGGAGTATCTTGACCTCTACCTGGTAACCTGAATGTGCACACTGCAAGAGTGGACAGATAAAGTTTTCCCTTTCTTTGCTACTACTAGCAACAATCTAAGTGATGGTTTTTTGGGATCTTCGTAGATTCATTGGCCCTTTCAGATAAAGAAAGGCAGCGAAGCTCAGAGCGTTCTGCCGCTCCAATGGAGTTCGTTTCTCTGTAAGTCACCATGGTTTTAAGCCTGGCGTGTACTATGATTCCGGGCAATCTGCTCATGTTCTTTCTGCAGGCGTATGGGCCGCTAGGCAGGATGAAATCCGTTGCCAATAATCCGGTGGTTGCATCGGTAGCAGAAAGATTGGGGAAAACGCCGGCACAGATTGCTCTGCGATGGGGTATCCAGCAGGGTCAGAGCGTGCTGAGTCAAGGTTGAAGGAGAACATTGATATCTTCGGTTGGTCCATTCCTGAAGAGTTGTGTGCCAAGTTTTTTGAAATTGAACAGGTACAGAATCCCTTTTTCAGTTATCCTTGACGTGAGTGCAGGAAATGATCGTTTAGCTTCTTCTTGATACATATGGACACATCAAGTTTGCATATACAAATTTCACAGTATATGGTTCACTATCGTTTTTATCTTTGCAATAATGTTTCTAGCCCTCTACCCAAATGAACTCGTTTCTTATAGAGTTGACTCATTGGCACTTTTGCTTTTTGGTGGGTGAACAGGTTAAGCAAATCAGAAATGATGCATTTGTGCACCCTCAGAGTATTTACAAAACAATTGACGAACTCTGGGATGGTGAGATCTAAATGAAGATCATTTTCGGTATGAAATCAATCTCTGACCAGAGCTGAAATTTACACCAAAACGTAGGGACACTTGTTTTTGAAGGGGAAAGAAAAAGAAACATGCATCATGCCGTTGTTGACTTGTTGTGAAGTACGACTAGCAACGGGCATGTGTTGCATTTTTGGCAGGGCTAAGTGACGTCAGCATATTGTTGCATAGCAGAAGATCTAGTGAAGAGGCCCCTGGAACAAACAAATTTACAGCAGTGTATTCCTTTTGTTCTGTTGTTGTATGCACGTTTTATCGATGCCTCTGTATGTTAGCATTAAGTGTAGTTCTTAGATAACCGAGAAGTCATATCCTGGCCTAGCCAAAGCTTATATTGCATTATTTCAGCACATAGCTGATCAGTGATCACAGAGCTTTGAGCATAGCAGAGCTGTTTATTCCGGAAACATTACGAAACGATGAGCAAGCAAATCATCGACATTTCCCGGCCTTCAGATAGCTTCAGGCGGTGTGCAGCTGCGCTCGCAGAAGCTGACGAGGATGTCCGCGCACCGGAAGACGGGTGGTTCGTCGATGCCGCCGGTGGTGAACTTGAGGCAACTCCTGCATGCCGGAAGGCACCCGCGCTGCGAGAAGTCTAGGCACTGGCACCGTGGCGGGAACGACCTGTAGCAGAAGCCGCACTTGTCGCAGCACGGCCATGAGCCTTTGGCGCGCGCTGCTCCTCCTTCCTCCTCGCCTGCGGCCACCAAAGATCGGCCATCCGTCATCCCACCCGGTTGAGCCAAAATGTACATCCTGACACAGGTGATTTTGAAAGTTTAACATATCACAACAAATCTCACCTTTGCTGAGTGGCAGAGCTGCCAGGACGGCTAGAACACCCAGTGTGACGAGTAACACATGAATTCTCATGTCAAGAGAGCAAAATGGCGAGTGGCAGAAAAAAGGAAAATCGGGTGGGGACATATGACACATCAGCAATCGGCACGCGCAACAGTAAGCAATATGGAACGATGCTCGGCATCATCATTCTTGTCTTGGAGTCTAAACGTGAGAGTCATGGCAATAATAAGAAAATCAAGTTTATAAATCCGAAGGGTCCAGCTTTTACTGAACTCGCTATCGACAGATATATATCTCCTATCATTGAAAGAATAAACCATTAAATCTTAAAACAAATTCAGAAAAACTGAAGCAATCGCTCAAGTTGAAGACATAAACCTAGATGGATAGTTTCCACCACAAGAAGGTTCCACCACAAGAAACTTAACTGATTGAGCTACTTTCATTTCACCAATTTGTGATTCATTTGCACTTTAACGTAGCGTGAGACCTACCCACCCTACAAATCAACAGATCTATATGTTTTCTCCTTTTGCCTACTTACCTTTTTCCTCTTTGCCCTACTTTTCCAAGTCTGTGTTCTGTTCTTCTCTCATCTCCAATTCTCCATAACATCAGAAGACACCCTAACTGATCGAGCTAGAGCAACCTAACATGTGCTTTCCCTGATGAGGTCCCTCTTGGGTGAGCATTGATCTACCTGACAAAACTAGAGAATCCAATTGTTTTGGAGATGAGATCTAATGACAAAATAGACTTGTCCATTGCATACTCTCATGGAGACAATCAAAACTCATACTCCGTATATGGGACATTCAACTTGGAATCGAGATGTAAGAGTTATGGCAACCAGAAGTATCTATACCCGTGAAAACCAAAGGGTCCAATTTATAAACCGAAGGGTTTGTTTTTTACAAGGTAGATCGGGATTAGGTTGGCTTAAGCGTTATCTGCGCATTATTAAACTCTGACACGGGGTAAGACTCACCCACTCTACAAAATTTGAAGGAACATGGTCAACTGACATTGTATGCCTCATGTTAGGCAGAGGCTGGAAGTTGCCCTCTTTGGCTTTGTATGAACTCGATGTATTGCTTCTGAGGTTTTAATAAAAGCTTCCTTTATATAAAAAAACACGGTCAACTGAGATACCCAACCGATTTAACAAATCTATATTTTATCCCTTTTGCCTTTCCTTTTTACTCTTTTTCCCCTAATCTTCTCAAAACCATGGATTTTTGTTCTTTCATCTCAATATTGTTTGAAACCCACCTAGTTGGCTCGCCGACGATAGGGAAATATAAGGTTAACTTACCCTGATGATCGAGTCCTTCATGAGCGAGCGTTCATTTATCTGTCCTAATAAAATCGATGTGTCGGTTTTCATAGAGGTGATGCAACAAGCACCCCTATGAGTATCCCGTTGCATGATCGTGCAATGGCTTTTCTTACTGTTTTTCCAGTATAATTGAGGTGCTTTGAGTGGTGAGATATAAATGGAAGCCATCACCTGCGGCGGAGCATGGAGCAAAAGGGGGAGGGGGGTAGCAATTTTATTTTATTTTAAAAAAGACAAGTGATCTGGTACCTGGCATCATCAATGTATTGGGCTAGTGTGTGGATTATCTAGTTTGTGCTGGTGTGTGCATGCGGGTGGAGCAAATGGTGCATGCATGTGCATGAGTGGGCTCTTCACTCTGTGCTGGTGTTGTGCTGGTCATAGAAAATTATCTAGGCCAAGGGAGGGCAGAAGCTCAATTTCACTTCCAGGCCTTGTTTGGATGCACATATATCCATCTCAATCCACATGTGTTGAGATGGATTAAGTAGAATTAAACTAAATTTCATTCCATTCCATTTCACTTCAATACATATGGATTGAAATGGATACACATGCATCCAAACAAGGCCTCACTGGTCTCCGCTCTTGACCATCACCCCAGTACAAAACCTGGGACCAGACTTGAAATTTAGACCACAAAATACGCATAATTTTTTTTTCTTGAATTAAAAATAAAGAAATAGGCATCATGTTGTCATTGTGATGTACCACTAGCATCAAGCAAAGAAAGTTGTGCGTTTGGTCGTCGTTTTCTTTTGTCAGGACTACGTGACTCAGCATACTCTGTGGACGAAGTGTTTTGTGTATAGCATAGCTCTTTATTCGAGAAACAGCAAAGACACGCTGAGCACGCGCGCAGGCATCGAACGGCAACGCTTATTTCTTCTCTGATGGGAAGCGGTCCGCGAAGGCAAGCTAGCTAATCAGTCGTTGCCGGCTGCATCCGATCAGATGGCCGGCCGCCCCCAACTTCAGTTAAACAACATCAGGTTCAGGCGTGCAGCGGCGCTCGCAGTAGTTGTAGAGGAAGTCCGCGCACCGGTAAACAGGCGGTTCGAGGACGCTGCCGCTGGTAGTGAACATGAGGCAGTTCCTGCACGCCGGGTGGCACCCGCCCTGCGAAAAATCGAGGCAATTGCACTGTGGCGGGAACGACAGGAGGCACAAGCCGCATTTGTCGCAGCACGGCCAAGCCTGGTTTGCATCCTTCTTGGCGAGTGTTCCTCCTTGCTCCTTCCCTGCTGCGGCGAAGAAAGATGAGTCGTTGGGCCAAGTTTGGAAAACATTAACAAAGCAGAAAAGGATTCACCTTTGCTGAGTGGCAGAGCAGCGAGGACGCCAAGAACAGCGAGCGTGAGGAATAGCACCTGAGGTCTCATGTTTGTTTCTCTTCTCAACAACCGCACGTCTATGTCTATCCGTTGCTTTAGATTTCAATTCCCTGCTAATGTCGAGGCTTCTTATAGAAGGAGGGTTGCCCGTCACAGCTCTGTGTGTGTCGTCCACATGCTTGCCAACTGAACAGAGAGCAAAATGACAAGTAGAAAAGGGAATTCTTAGATGAGGACGCACGACACGTCGACAGTAGACACGAGCAACAGCAAGCAATATGGAACGATGCATTGCATCGTCATTCCTTATCGACCCGGATGACCCACACACCACGACACTGTGTAGCACCAAATTATGCTGGGTTGGTCTAAGTGGGTATTAACACCGTTCTTAATTTTTTGGTCATCGGGTCAGTGGGTCGACCCACGAAATTCTGCATCGTGATGTCCATATCACGACCTTTGCATCAAAGAGATGCAAGTAGCCATGATGTTATTATTAGTTATCAGAGTGAAATAGTCATGTCTGGGTCTATGGCATCTAAAGATGCACATAGCCAAAGCGATTATATATTACATTTTTTTTAAGTCTCATGACTAGAGAGCTCCGAGCATAACATATCTCTGTTTAGCTGAGCTGTGGTTTTTAGAAAAACTATTGTAAATTGTGGCTTTTAAAAAAACTATTGTGAAAAATTAGCTGTGGAAAAAACAGAAGGTCGTTTGGTGAAATAGTTGTGGCTTTTAGAAAACACCTACGAGCGGACCCAGCGGACCCTACATGTCATTCGCAGTCCACCCTACTCAACTCTCTCCCTCTCTCACTGATGAGCGGACCCCGCTCATCATCTTCTTCGTCCTCTCTCCATGACGAGCAGAGCAGCCGTGCTGAGGCTAGGCGGGGTCGGCGAGCAGCCACGCCGAGGCTGGGCGGTGCCGGGGCAGGGGCAGAGGCCCACGCGCGCCCGGCCATCCCGAGCAGAGCAGCCACGCCCAGGCTATGCGGGGTCGGCGAGCAGCCGCGCCAGCGCAGGGACATGCGGGAGGCGCCGGATCCAGGGACGACGGGTCTGCCGCTCCTCGGCGGAGTTCCACCATCGGAGCCAGGGGCCCGATTGGGAGATGCGCCGCCGCCTAGAGCCTTGACTCCTTGTGCCGCCGCCGCCTGGTACTTGCGCCGCCGCCATGGGTCCTCGCCGGAGATAGGGCAGGGGTCGCCGGGGATGGGATGAGAGGGCGGCCGAACCGAAGCTCAGGAAGGCGCGGCACCATCAGGATCTCGCCATCGAAGGCGCATGGCCGCGCCGTCGGAGTAGGGCCGCACCGTCGGGCTGCAGGTGATGATCCGCTGGACCGCCGTTCCATGCCGCCGGGCTGCAGGTGCCGCGCCGCCGGGGCAGGTGCTGCTCGCGGTGAAGATGGAGGTGGCTCGCGGCGAGAGGTGCGACGAAAAAAACGATTCGTTTGATAACCAGCGGTACGTGGGTAATTT